AATAATTCTGAAGCACGAACACGTGCAAGAGAAACCCTTTTAAAGGTCAGGGGATTTGTTCTTTCCCCAGGGTTGTTTTTTTTTTTTTTTTTTTTTGTCTGTTAAGTGTGGTAAAACGATATGAGCCTTCCTCATGTGACTGCAGTCAGGATTACAGGAAGTGATAAGCAAAGTACAGGTTGTCAGCTATTTCTGAAATGTAGTAAGCCTGTGTTCTCCCTCTTCCTTCCATCCTGCTCCCTCCTCCCCCTAAAACAGAAGCTGTGCAAATCCAGCTGCGTTTTGTATGTAGACCAGGCAGTGACATTCAACAGAAACACCTGGTGGCAGGAAGTGGCCTTTGGGTGTCCTTTGTTTCAGGGTCTCTGGAAACTAGGTCCTTCATTCTCTGTGGCAGCAATTCAGACATGGACTGGATTTGAGCTGCTCATCACAGCAGGGAGCAGGCTGGAAGGTCTGGCCCCAGCTTAGAGTCAGCAGAAAGTCCTGGGTGGAACAAAAGCTTGGTGGCAGGTCTGGATGGTTCCATCCTATTCAGCCTGGGAAAATTCCAGGCAGGTGCCTGAATGGATTAGGTTACTGAGTGAACAACCTCAGCTCTTCCTCTGGCTCCTGGAGGTGGAAAGGTCCTGCCAGTCATTGTTTGCCAAGATAAAAAGATGTCCCCTCCATCCCTTAAGGCCCATGGGGTTGAGTGGCATTCTCTGTAAATTGTGGGTCCACATTCAGTTTCCTTCCTGGCTGCTCACATCATGTCACCACAGTTGTCCAGGCTGCCCATCCTCCTAGCACTAAGTGGGTGTTATGAATATTTGTTAAGTATAGATGCTGCAAAGAGGAGAGTCTGTCGTGACTACCTAGCCACCAGCCTTTTGCTGACTTGCGCCATCTCGGTGCCTAACCAACAAAAGTGCCCTAGACAAGGCCCAGAAATACAGGATCAGATAGAGATCAGCACCATTGTGCTCATAATTCCCAAGAATACCAAATGTAACAGCAGTACCAACTCCCCCCTACCTTTTTAGCGTAGAGTAACTGCTTCAGAAAATTTAACCCTTCATTCATTCCATTTCCCAACACTTCGGTTACAGTTGTATGTCGCATGACACTGTATTGTGGTCAGTGATGGGCACAAGCACATGACTATGTCAGGCACTTCCAGCGGAGCTGAGACTTTCTTTTCACCTGGTGATGTCAGAAGTGACTTAGTTTGTGATACACTCGGAGATGTTCCTACCATGACCAAATTCCCTGGTGCAATACTCACCACAGATCTCTGTGGTTCAGTAATGTGGACATCAGTTTGTTTCCTATTGATAGACACTGTCTAAATTTTCCATGTCTTTCCAAAATCTTGACTCTTAGCACTAGCAGAACCAATTCTTGGTAAGTGCTTTAATTTGATATTTCTTTTATTTTTATTCTTATATTATCTTGATACAAATGT